CAAGATAACACAACTTGTTGATAGTAACAGTTCTACTGATTTGCAAAAACTTCACTGAAATTCTATTTGGGTCATCTACGCCGGGATTCAGAAAATTTGGCAAAAACGTTTAAAAGCAAACGAAGACCTTGGCTTTTCCTACGTCCACGCCATCAACTTCTTTTTTTCCACCACATAATACCTACAGGTGTTAGCGTCAGTCCCACAGTTCCTGGATTTGCGTATCTCGTCGTGGAGTTTATATGTAATGACGGAGCAATGAACACTTACAATAATGCCACAGTGGGTCTACCAATGCAGTGTTCCTGTGAATAATTCAAAATAGTTTCCTTTTCGCATGCCATGATTTGCAGATTCCGACCTTTCACAGACGTCTTCTGAGGACGTGTATATCTGTGTATACGCAACAATTGGGGACTATGTCATTTTCCATGATTAATCAATTTTCGAGTGAATATTTTTATGACATCGTTTTAGTGTAGCACCAATTCAAGCACTTGGTTTCCTAACTTCTGTTCATGGAAGACGATAGATGATGACTAAACTTACTACTCGAACAGATTTTACCACAGTCATTTGTGTCTGCCTTTTGTTCAGCCATGTTCCTCCTGTCTTTAGCTAACATGGTTCGTCTTTCAACATAGGATTATTCCACGTTTGCACAAATGACTTCTTCATGGCTTAATCATGTTCATCAATGTTATTGTCACTTCACCTTCAGTTTAGTGCTCTAAGTGACTGGTGAAACATCGATGAAACATACTAACTTCCAGCATGCTAGCATTCCAGGAGTCGTGTGCAGGGCATAAATTCGACTAAACACCAAATATCCAATGCACTAAAGCACTGACTCATTTAGTAATTGAGAGTCGGGCCTCACGCAAGGCTGCTGTGAATTGCGCTGATTCACACTCTCTAATTAGATCACTCCAGCCTCCTACATAGAGACCTTCATTTCGCCGCATGTCGCCAGCCGCGCGGATCCTCAACTCCCCCCTCATTAGCACGAACATTCATCCTGGATTATCCTCACACCTAGGTCTCGATGTTTGCATATCTGACTCACACACCTAAGGTGCAAATACGCACGTGCAAACGCCACACACGACACAACGACACCAACTTCATTGAGCCCTGAAGTAAACGGTGGTGTTCACGTCCTATCCGGTCTCCTTCTTCATCGTGGGTATCAGGGAGGTGTAATTGGGCCAGAGTTAAATCAGTGGCCGCGACGTGTTTCATGATCACATGCCTCGGCCCAAAACAGGGCACAGAACTCGTGTCAATGCGGAACTAGACGAGGATCTTGACAGTCTGAACTGCCGCTTGATTGGTGCCCGCAATGTGTGGCAAGTTTGACCTGTCAGCGAACTCTAACCTAGGTTACCACTCTGCTCTCCAAGTACACCACCACGCTGGTATCCCCTACTTTGCTAAAAGGTGATTATTGAAGTCGCATTAATTCACTCACGTATCGCGCTCATGCCAATGCAGTAATTATCCTAAAAACCGGATTTCGAAACGCCAGCGTTGGCGCCCCTCTCGGGAGCTCCCAAGCACGAATTTCGCAGCTTAATGTGCTTCAACACACCGCCATGCGCTTGGAACAAATTGTATAGTCAGAAAACTAGGAACTATGGCTAATCCCTCAGCATTCGGAAGTCCATCATGGTCGGTATCCTTGGCCATTCAACGTTCATGTCAGTTACTTGTCTTCTCTACCGCGATCGTAGCAATCACCCGCTAATGTACCACATCTTGCAGCCTTCGTGCTCATTGCTGCCAAATTGCTTAATTCCATTATTTCTAAGTTGCATGACGTGCCTTTTCGATTGGCTATCCAGCTTGAACACAGTCATGTCAAGGCGGTTGATCATCCAGTGCCAGATGAAGCTGCGCGTTGTTGACCACATCACGCTAAGCCCCTGTATCTGCCAGCCATTGTAAATTACTCTCTCTCTCTCTGGATGAATTGCCCCATCGTGATTGCCACTTTTATGCTTTCCAGGATGCACACACACACACGCACACAACAACACACTCAAATAACCATCGACGACTTTTGGCACGTGATTTAAATCGCCTATCCTAATCTGCGAAGGTGTGATGAGGTAAGTACTTATCAAGCAGAGCGTCGGCTGCATCTCGAAAAGGCTGCTACTGCTGCCGCTTTGCTGCCGCTCTTGCTGCCTCTGCTTTGCCTTTCATGCGCACAGGAAGTGACGTGCACCCCACACAATTAAATTGGCCTTGACATGTGTCAAAACTCCTCGCTCCGTGCTATTTGCTCGTGATCGAACGCATTTCTGCAACTGTGACAATTGAGGTGGTATTCTGATTAAGGCCTGTTACGCCAGACTGTTACCAGATCCTGTTGCTGCCAAATGCATTTGTTAATTGAAGGGTCGCTCGCAAGTGAGCGGAGAAATCACCTTCGGCATCAGTACCATCAACATTCTCATCGAAGTCAAGTGGCTGCACTCACCAAAACGACACATGAAGCTGAACTCCTGCCTTCTGGAACGAACAACTTGTCAAACAGCATGGCAGGCAGTGAGGCACCACATTACTCCAGAACTTGAGTGAAGGTGCATCCCACAATGTCACGTTTGCCCGTAACAGAGAGAAAACCACTCAAATAACGGTACCAGATCCCTTTTTGACGCTAGCACCGATTTTCCCACGCTCATACGAGAACAAGACCAGAGCTTGTGTAGAAGAGAGCCTTAATCACGTCAGCCACGTGCGAGTGAGTTGTCAAAAGCAAAGCTAATTCAAGTCAAAGTTGACCTTGACCTGATAAAAAGCGTAATAATACGCATGTTAGGGAATTAGTGTACGTAATGCCAAAAAACAACGATGAGCAATCGTGGGGCATCGTGAATCCCCAGCACACAACCACAATCGCCTGCTTGAAATGAAACACTCTGCCACGAGCCTCACAATGCCAGCAGCCTCATTCTGCCAACGAGGATGTCAGTCACGCGTTGCCGCCAGACGCATGCGTTTGGTAACCAACAGCATTGAGACATCTGCACTTCCTTGACGCTCCAAACCGCGACATCGATGCTCGTTGCCATTACTCTCGCACGAGGTGTGCTCTCTGGATTCGCGATTATCAACCCCTGCTTATGAATGCGTTGCCCTGCGCTTAGACCTTCTTACTTACTTCTTACTTCTTTCTTCGCATCTCACGCATTGACTTTCACTTGCTCCATTGCACTCACTCTTTTCTGGACTATTTGTTCACACGTTAGCACAACACAACACAGCACAACTAGTTTCTTGAGTGGAATGACGAACCTGACCGTGTTATTTCTGGCTTCGAATGCAACTTATGGGCTCTGCGAGGCGTCACACGGCCTACCAGGTGTTTGGCCCCTCAGGCAGTCAAAGACACGTCAATGTTCCATTTCCAGCGGTTACCTTTTCAGTTGTGCAACTAAGGTGTGCATCCAGCATTGGCAGGTAGTGGAAGACGGTTTTACGAAAGGCAATTCCTAACTGCCTTAATACGATACAGTTTTTTGTCATTTATAGCATCTTCATATTTTAGCACCTAAGACAATTTGACAATATTTAAAATTATGACCATTCATCTTGAAGTTTCTGAATTTTTATTTATGTATGTGGTACTTGATCGAGTTCGATTATTTTGTAAACCTGCATTGTTTGTAATTGCTTGTGAACCTTTGAACATTTAGGCAAATCGAAATATTCGTGACATGCCTGTTTGATACCGGACAATCGTATAAAATGGCTGAATAAATACTGGAAAAACATCAAGAGATTTGCACGTCAATCTTTATTCTTGATATAAACTGTTAACAGTTTTGGTGGTGATGCTGGAAGCAAGTCCAACCATGGGGTGCGCTTATCAAGCCTCGTTTCTACAACCAGAGGTAAACCCCGTTTTGGCGACTCACGGCCATCATTCATCATCATCATCATTTAAAGTAGAAATGGCACAACAGGAACCTCCTAGATAATTGTGCAGCACGCGCTACTGTTTACTCGACGTAAGGATTCCCGGGTCTTTGATCTCCTCGTCACGCCAACCGTGGGACCGATTGTCGGCCTCTAGTTCATTTGCGCTCTCTTTCTCTGTGGATGCGTGTGTGTGTGTGCATGTGCGAGAAGGCTGGTGAAGATTTATGAACCTGAGAGCGAGAACAGTACCCGTGAAGGGGTGAGAATAGGTACGTAAACTGTGCGGTGAAACACGCAAGGTGGGGTTTGGGGTAACGCAGGCTAAGGAGACACAAGTTCGTAACAGGTAGTTAGACCACCGCTTTTTCAGATTCGTAGGATAAGCCAGATAACCATGCAAATGGTATGATTGTGTGTCGTTTTACGGAAAACCAGCTACCTAACGTTTAACCTCTAAATTTTTTTCCAAAATGCATTA